TGTCCATCTGGGGATGTCTTGCATCTTTTTTCGGTTTTGGCACTGCATTTTTGAACTTATCACCAGCTACTTTTGATTCAGAAAATTCATTTCTGTGATCGCTTTATCCCTAAGCTATTTTAAGCGTTTTTTTTTTTTACCTTTTTTTCTTTTCAAAGGTAGCAAGCATTTTTCTAAAGTTTCAAATAGAAATGCATGTTGTGAAGAACACCCTACGAGGGTAACTTTTTTGTTTGACGGGAGCGATGTGTTCGATTTATGAGAGGAAAAGTTAATAAAAGCATAATTTAGGCAGTGGTGCCGTTCAATTATGAATGGATAACCGATGCTGTTATCGAGTTTTCCACGCTTTTATTCTTCGTAATTGCTGGCTACCAATTCAGACCACAAGAACGAAATCCATATTTAAAGTTAGCGCAGGAAGACGATGCTGAAGCGTACGTTATTTAGCTCTCAGCTTCGGTTTATTCTTCTAGCCTTTGTTTTTACTATCAGTATTTGAGCAAATTTCAGATTAACGAAAAGTGGTGTTTTTGAAAGTGTTTCACGGTTGAAACGAGTCGCCGTACGCGATGAAACTCTCGATGATATACCAGGTGCTATAGGCGGAAATAATGCTGATTCAGAAGACAGTGCTCCCGAGGACATTTTCCATGAACGAGAAACTAGATCCACTCCCAAGTCCTCAATCCTTTGACACATCTCTCGCTGCTGATAATGATTTACAGTTTCGTTGGCAGAGCGAATCCTTGTAATTACTTGCTCCTGCTCTGTAACGTGGAAAGGAACTTATCCTTCACTCGGATGAAGAAAGAAATTTCTTTTACCATCTTTTATGGGCAGCCTTGTAAATATCGAAAAAAAGCTGGTAATTATGTTGCAAATCTTCCAGTTACTTATTTTTAGATTTTTTTTGTTGAAAGAAAAAATTTCATTGTCCCTGGTAATATCCCAAAATGTATATAGCTGTGTAAATGGGAGCAAAACGGTGACCGTCGAAGCATCGATTGCCGAGCTGAACTGTTATACGTCCAGTACAGCCATGATAGACCTTCCTCTCTCGAATCCCTTTTACACTTATCTGCCGATTTCGATGCGTACCGTTATCCTTGGAATCGATACTTGCGGCCAGAGAGATTTCATCCTCTGATACGCGGTGCGTTCGCTGTTTCCAGTGAAGTGAGTGGCATGCCTGTTTCTAGTAGTTATTGCTTTTCGTGGTATCCACAACGATGCCATCTCAAACACTTGCTGGCGAGAGCATTTCGTATTTTATATAGTCCCGAAGAAGCACTTTGCTCCGTGTCTCACTGCTTTTTCGACTAAAATCCGCTCATTTACTGTTGTCAGTGTGACCACATTTACGCCTACATGGAACTTTTTGTGGTTCAGCAAATCCTTTTTTTCTCGTACTGTTTTAATTAGATCAAAGTCCGCTGGCAAATGTTGAATATCCATTACATCTCTCTTCGTTCCTCAGCAAATTCTCGCTTTTTACAAACCTTGAAATTAGATGTCACAGAAGTGCTTTCTCCTTCAAGGTTTATAACGAAAATGCCGTAAAATATAGTAAACTAGTTAAGGTTCCCTGACAATGCTATGGACCAAGCTGCACACGAGAGAATAATTTTATCGCAGTAACTTCGTTATGCACGTATATGCATCGTCTGTGACTGATTCCACTGGTGGTCTGGACGAATAGTTAGATTATACAGGCTTAGGGGGTTCCACGACATCCAAATAAAACGAGACTTTTTGCAGATTTTGTTTTCATAATTAGTCTCGCTTGTGCATATAGCTTCTCCGTTGACTACGAAATGCATGAATCAGTCACATCGCTCCTTTTCCAGAGTGCCATGATACCTGCTGCTAGCATCCCGTACATTCTTCATTTTATAGATTATTCCTTAAAACTGTATTAAAAGTCTTGCATTTCCCGACATGATTCTTATCAAATCATCGGCAAAAAAATCTAAAATGAGCAATTTGGTTCCGCTTCATGTAATTAGGTTATTTTAATACTCTTCATAACACTGCATCTCATCATCCACTTCTATGTTCTTTACTTCATTTCTCACTTTTTACGTTTTCTGCCCAATCTGGTACAAAACTAGCGACATTTGCACCTTATACGTGTCTGGTAGCAGGCTGTAGTGATAGTTTCCACTCCTGCTCGCACATGCTTCTCTATCTGTGTTTACGGCCAAGGAATGAAATGCAAACTGCACTAGGGTGTGCTTATCGATATATGGAATACCCTGGTCCATCATCATCCCTGGTCTTCTTACGTTTAAGAAATTATCTCTGAACCGAGTGCAAAGTACTGTTTTTAATCACTTGGAAGAATCAAAAAGTTTTATAGTTCATAATTTACTCTTCCGCTGTAATTCCGTCCCATTTTCATAGGTTCGAATTAACGTATTGTTTATTCCCATAGTGATTTTTCATGTACATTTCAGTCGTATTGTGCTTCGCAGTGTATTTTTTGTTTACGTTCAGTGTATCTGAATACTGCTTGCTACTGCTCTTCTTACATTTCTGTCTTTCCCGTGATGTCAGCCATTTTTGTGCCAAATCAAACGCTTTTGTTTAAGCAAATGTAGTTGTAACTGGTTTCTGTCTCTTTGCAAAAGCTCTACGTAAGGAAACAGCGTAGTTTTTTTATCAGACATTCTACTTTTGCTCGAGGACTTCTGTGAAAGCTTTTTCAGCATCATTATTTTACTGTAGGCGAGTCTTCGGTGCATTTTTTGTTCTTATGAGATATGCTAATTTTCAATGAAAGTAATGTTATATTCCGGTGAAATTGTTAGATTCATAATTTTTGGTAATACTGCTTTAGGAAAAACTGTTCCATTAATGGGTGGTTATTTATTACACCCGTTTCCGGCGTTTTTCTGCGCATTTAAAGCTATGTATTGTCATGTAAGAGATCAAATAATGATTGATGGCTTTTTGTTAAAAGTAGGTTAAAGAACAACTACGTTATTATGACGCAATATCCCTGTCCCTGATTCAAACTTTGGACACCCTACCCTCGCTAAACTTTCGCTATCTTAATAATCTCTGACCCTTGATAATAAATTAATGTTTTTATATTACATAATGCAAAAGTCTAGAATGCTGCGTTAAT